TCCCTTTCCTCCATCCCTTGTCCTTCCTCCCTTTCCTCCATCCCTTGTCCTTCCTCCCTTTCCTCCATCCCTTGTCCTTCCTCCCTTTCCTCCATCCCTTGTCCTTCCTCCCTTTCCTCCATCCCTTGTCCTTCCTCCCTTTCCTCCATCCCTTGTCCTTCCTCCCTTTCCTCCATCCCTTGTCCTTCCTCCCTTTCCTCCATCCCTTGTCCTTCCTCCCTTTCCTCCATCCCTTGTCCTTCCTCCCTTTCCTCCATCCCTTGTCCTTCCTCCCTTTCCTCCATCCCTTGTCCTTCCTCCCTTTCCTCCATCCCTTGTCCTTCCTCCCTTTCCTCCATCCCTTGTCCTTCCTCCCTTTCCTCCATCCCTTGTCCTTCCTCCCTTTCCTCCATCCCTTGTCCTTCCTCCCTTTCCTCCATCCCTTGTCCTTCCTCCCTTTCCTCCATCCCTTGTCCTTCCTCCCTTTCCTCCATCCCTTGTCCTTCCTCCCTTTCCTCCATCCCTTGTCCTTCCTCCCTTTCCTCCATCCCTTGTCCTTCCTCCCTTTCCTCCATCCCTTGTCCTTCCTCCCTTTCCTCCATCCCTTGTCCTTCCTCCCTTTCCTCCATCCCTTGTCCTTCCTCCCTTTCCTCCATCCCTTGTCCTTCCTCCCTTTCCTCCATCCCTTGTCCTTCCTCCCTTTCCTCCATCCCTTGTCCTTCCTCCCTTTCCTCCATCCCTTGCCATGCGTTTCACTCCCCCATGCTTCAGGTGGACTATGCAATGGAGGCGGTGAACCAGGCAGTGTAGCAGTGGGGCTGCGCAGCGATGCATGCCAGCATCACTCCCTAACCTCCCTTCCCCGTTCCTTGGCCCCCCTCACTCCCCTCTCCTCTCCCCCATCTCACCAGGTGGAGTACGCAATGGAGGCGGTGAAGCAGGGCAGTGCGGCAGTGGGCCTGCGCAGCACCACGCACGCAGTGCTTGCCACGCTCAAGCGAGCGGCGTCCCCCCTGGCGTCGTATCAGCGCAAGATATTCCGGGTGGACGACCACATGGGCATTGCGATTGCCGGGCTGAACGCTGACGGGCGCGTGCTCTGCCGCTTCATGCGCTCTGAGTGCCTCTCGCATAAGTGAGTGGCTCTCGCATAAGTGAGTGCCTCTCGCATAAGTGAGTGCCTCTCGCATAAGTGAGTGCCTCTCGCATAAGTGAGTGCCTCTCGCATAAGTGAGTGCGTCACACCTCTCTCCGTGGGAGCACTTATCGTTCTTACCCCTTCCCTCTGCTTCCACCTCTCCTTTTTCGAACCAGCCCTTCCCTCGCCTGCGCTCCTTTGCCTATGCTCCTCTTGCATTCATATTCCCTCTGCATCTCCTGCCACTGCGCGTCTACAAGCCTCTTGTTTGTAACCGTCGCACCTGTGCCCTCTCCTCCCCCCTTTTCTTCTCCCACCTTCTCCTCCTCCACCCTTTTTTTCCCGCCCACCTTCTCCTCCTCCACCCTTTTTTCCCGCCCACCTTCTCCTCCTCCACCCTTTTTTCCCGCCCACCTTCTCCTCCTCCACCCTTTTTTTCCCGCCCACCTTCTCCTCCTCGCTCGCTCCTATCCCCATGTCTGCATCTGCCCTGCCATCCACTACCCTCCCCACATCTCCCATCCCGTTGCAGGTTTGTCTTTGAATCGCCTCTCCCGGTGGGCCGCCTTGTCTCCATGGTAGCAGACAAATCTCAGGTGTGCACGCAGCGCTCGTGGCGCCGCCCGTATGGCGTGGGGCTGCTAGTGGCTGGCTTCGACCAGACCGGCCCGCACATCTTTCAAACCTGCCCGTCGGGCAACTTCTGGGAATTCCACGCCATGGCGATCGGGGCGCGTTCGCAGGCCTCCAAGACGTACCTGGAGCGCAAGTTTGAGTCGTTCGGGGCGTGTTCGCTGAACGAGTTGGTGCGACACGCGCTGCTGGCTGTGAAGGAGTCGCTGCAGGAGGGGGAGCTGAGTGGAGCCAACTGCAGTGTCTCTATCGTTGGGGAGGGGCAAGCGTTCAGCATTTTGACCGATGCGCAGGTGCAGGAGCATATAGATAGGATGGAGAATGAGGAGGGTGGGCAGGGAGGGGCGGCAAAGGAGGAAGTAGAGGTGGTGGAGGAGGTGGAGGTGGAGGATGTGCAGGAGGAGAAGCCGGGGGAAGGGGAAGGAGGGGAGGGTGGTACAGGGGAGGGCTCTAAGGGTCCCGCTCCTATGGAGGCCTGATAATTGTGGTGCGGAGCGGAGCATGTTTTTCTACGAAAGTGCAAATAATTTGTACCGCACATCACTCAGCTTTGTGATGCTTTGTGATGCTCAGACATAGCTCTTGTGCTCAAAGGAAATGGATATCTGATTGCTGTTATGTAGCAGAACTGTAAAAGTACAGTAGGATACTCGGCTCTTATAAAGCGTACAGCGTGGAGATATCTTCCCGAAATCTCGGCCTCCTGCATTTCCAGCCATCAATTCCCTTCGCCCCCTCACTTCCTTCCCTCAGCCTCCCCCTTTCATCGCATTTCTGCCTTTTCTCGAATCTCCCCATCGTCTGAGCGAGTCCCCCCAAGTTACCACTTCACCCCATCCCCGCTCCGCGCGCATCTTTTTTGTTTCACAACTGTCGCGACCTTAGACTACGGTACATTAGTTTTACGCTACGACTTTTTCACGTGATAACTCACGCCTTATCGAATTCGCCGTCTTACCGCGCACCGCATTCCAGCTACTTTTATTCCTGATAAGCTGTAGCGCGTTATTTGTGGAGGCATTAGCTCGTCACCAAAGACTAACCCCGTGTCGTGCAATTCGAGCGTAATTGTCGGCAGAGATGGGAGGAGACGAGCTACCAGGGCAGGGGAAGAAAGTCTGCGTCACGGGAGCATCGGGTAATTTTCTCTCTCAAAATCTCGTAAAACTTCAAATCTGCGTTGTTTCTCTCGACATTCTCGGTGCTCCGCTATGAAGTATCCCTCGTTTGGTCAGTCGTTGACATTCTTTTCATTTTCGCCACTCTTGTTCCATTCTCCTCGTTCCCGTCGTTCCCTTCTCCTCGTCTCGTCTTCTCAGCCTTCCCGTCCTCGCAGCTACATGGTGAAGCTGCTGCTGGAGCGAGGCTACCGTGCGCGGAGCAGCAATTCACCCATTCACCATCAGCCAATGTCCGACGCGCCTCTCTGCCTCGTCCCCTATCCAAATGTCTCTCCCTTTCCCTTTCTTCCCCAACGCGTCGCCTCGCGCCAGGCTTCGTCGGCAGCTACGTGGTGAAGATGCTGTTGGAACGAGGCTACCACGTGCGGGGCACCGTCAGAAACCTCGACGACCCACGAACCAACTGGCTGCGCGGCCTCGTAAGGCTCTCGACAAATTCGAAGCATGTTGTTTCCGAATGTTGAACGCCTGGAAAGCGTTTTTTTCTATTACTGTACGGCGACGAATGGCTGTTGTTGGGAGCTGACGTCTGCATTGGACTTGGATTCGATGTCCAAGCGCGATCGACGGACTCTCTGCAAGAAATCCCGCTTCTCTGTGATACATTACCTGCAGCTCTTTTCCGCACGGGGATGTTGGGAGTTATGCGGGATGGCTGGGAGGGAGGGCGGAGTAACGGGTGAGAAGGGAAGAAAGGAGGGATTGCGGAGAAGCATGGCTGGTGGACGGCTGAGATTGGATGTCATTCTCGTGGTAGGCTGAGATTGGATGTCATTCTCGTGGTAGGCTGAGATTGGATGTCATTCTTGTGGTAGGCTGAGATTGGATGTCATTCTCGTGGTAGGCTGAGATTGGATGTCATTCTCGTGGTAGGCTGAGAGCACTCCAGGTACGATTCGGCCCCTCGCAGCAGACCCAGCAACCCTTGGAAGCTTCGACGAAGCAGGGGAGGGGTGCGAGCTTCTGTGTCACGTGGCAGCGCGGATGTCTTCGCTTGCGAGAATCGATCATTCTCCTTAAACGCACCTCTTCTTCGTTCTTTCTTCTTCGTTCTTTCTTCTTCGTTCTTTCTTCTTCTGATTTTCTCGCAAACCAGGCGGACGGCACGCCGGGCACAATCCAGCTGTTCGCGGCGGATCTAACGGCGCCGGGGAGCTTCGACGAGGCGGTGGAGGGGTGCGAGCTGGTGTGCCACGTGGCAGCGCTGATGGCGACCAGTAAGAGCGACCCGCAGACGATCGTGGCGGCGGCGCTGGATGGCACGCGGAACGTGTTTGCCTCGATTATGAAGCACCAATGCGCCAAGTGAGTGGCGGGGTAGGGAGGGAGGGAGCGGTGGGGCGGAGGGGAGGGAGGGGTGGGGTGGTTAGTGGGTTGGTGGGAGGGAAGGCGCTGGATGGCACGCGGAACGTGTTTGGGTCGATTATGAAGCACCAATGCGCCAAGTGAGTGGGACATGGGGAGGAGTGGGACATGGGGAGGAGTGGGACATGGGGAGGAGTGGGACATGGGGAGGAGTGGGACATGGGGAGGGGTGGGGCGGAGGGAGGGGTGGGGTAGAGGGTGGGTTGGCTGGAGGGAGGGGTTGTGGATTTGTGCTCATGAAGAAGGGCAGCAGTAGGCAAGGTCGCCTTTAGCAAAGGGACGATAGTCAACTAGTGAAAAAAGAAACCCTTGAAAAAATTGATTAAGATCCGAACGTACAGCTCAGTTCAAACTCTAGACGAAAGCAAACATGTTTCGGCTTTGCACGGGGATCATACCTGCTAGGCCTTCATCAGTGCAAGAGTTCAAAGTGAAAGAGCGAACAAGCAACACCCAAGCCTCGAGATCTACACAGGGAAATCCTACCCCGGGCGCGTAACTAGATAAGAAATGCGCCAACTAGACACAAAAGAAAATTCCTTGGTGCCCAGTCACTCTTGGGGTTTGTCTTCGGCAGTCTTGGAATTGGGTGGTGGTAACCTCGCGCGAACCAGGCACTGTTGCACGTTACGTGCACACTTCCAAGCAACAAGAATTCGATCAATATAAAAATTGCGGGTAGGGAGGGGTTGTGGATGGCACGCGGGACGTGGTCGATTCGATCATGAAGCACCAGTGTGCCAAGTGAGCCAGGGAGGGGGGTGGGGTGGGGTGAGCGGGCGGGGCGTTGGGATGCGAGCATGGGGAGGGGGGGGGGGGGGGGTGGGGAGACGGCGCTGGATGGCACGCGGAACGTGTTCGCCGCGATCATGAAGCACCAATGCGCCAAGTGAGTGGGGGGTTGGGGAAGGGAGGGGTGCGGCGGAGGGAGGGGCGGGGTTGAGGGTGGGCTGGGCGGAGGGAGTTTGACTCCTTCACGAAACGCCAGTGCGCCTAGTGAGCCGTGGGGAGGGCGGGCGGGAGGTGTGGGACATGGGGAGGTGTGGGACATGGGGAGGAGTGGGACATGGGGAGGAGTGGGGCGGAGGGAGGGGTGGAGCAGAGGGCAATGCGGCACTGTTACAGTTGTGGTAGCACCAGTGTGCCAGCTGAACCCCCACACCCGCCCTTTCCCGCACATTCCTTCCCCCCTCTTGACTTATCCCCTTCAATCCCCGTCTCGCTCCCACCCGTCACCCTCCCCGCCCCACCCCTCGCCGCTCGTCCCCTCTTCTTCCCTTCGTCTATATGCATATCTTTTTCTGCTCATACCAGCTGCCCTGCCCTGCCCTGCCCTGTCCTGCCCTGCAGGTGCTTCCACAGACCCCACCACTCACCACCCCACCACTCACCACCCCACCACTCACCACCCCACCACTCACCACCCCACCAGTCACCACCTCACCAGTCACTACCAGCCACCACCAGTCACATACCACGCCCAGTGGTCGCAAGGCCAATCCTCAAGACTCTGTCTCTCTTTCCCTCCTCTCACCTCCCCAACCCCTCCCCCCCCTTTTCCACCGCAACCCCCGACTGCCCCTCGCACTCTCAGAGGAAGGTGGTGCTGACATGATCAGTGGCAGCATGCATTAACTGCATGTTCCCTTCATGAACTGCATGGTCACTGAAGGCCAGTGGAACAACTAGTCGCCTTGCCTCCTCTTCCCCCTCTCCCCCCTCATCCCCCTCTCCCCCCTCATCCCCCGCAACCCCCCATGCCCCACTCACTCCCACAGGAAGGTAGTGCTGACGTCATCAGTGGCAGCGGTATCGGACAACATGTTCCCATCAGACCACGTCTTCACCGAGGCCGACTGGAACCGCCAGCTGTCGCTGCGCGCGCCCTACAGCATGGGGAAGACGCTGGCTGAGAAATATGCGTGGCGGGTGGCGGACGAGCTGAGGGGCGTGGAGTGGAGATTTGATTTGGTCACTCTCTGCCCCAGTCTCGTGTTGGGGCCAGCGCTAAGAGAGGAGCACGTGAAGGGCAGCCTGCAGGTGAGTGTTGAAAGTGGACTGGAATTCTCCCTGGTTCCATATCCCTGGTTCCATATCCCTGGTTCCATATCCCTGGTTCCATATCCCTGGTTCCATATCCCTGGTTCCATATCCCTGGTTCCATATCCCTGGTTCCATATCCCTGGTTCCATATCCCTGGTTCCATATCCCTGGTTCCATATCCCTGGTTCCATATCCCTGGTTCCATATCCCTGGTTCCATATCCCTGGTTCCATATCCCTGGTTCCATATCCCTGGTTCCATATCCCTGGTTCCATATCCCTGGTTCCATATCCCTGGTTCCATATCCCTGGTTCCATATCCCTGGTTCCATATCCCTGGTTCCATATCCCTGGTTCCATATCCCTGGTTCCATATCCCTGGTTCCATATCCCTGGTTCCATATCCCTGGTTCCATATCCCTGGTTCCATATCCCTGGTTCCATATCCCTGGTTCCATATCCCTGGTTCCATATCCCTGGTTCCATATCCCTGGTTCCATATCCCTGGTTCCATATCCCTGGTTCCATATCCCTGGTTCCATATCCCTGGTTCCATATCCCTGGTTCCATATCCCTGGTTCCATATCCCTGGTTCCATATCCCTGGTTCCATATCCCTGGTTCCATATCCCTGGTTCCATATCCCTGGTTCCATATCCCTGGTTCCATATCCCTGGTTCCATATCCCTGGTTCCATATCCCTGGTTCCATATCCCTGGTTCCATATCCCTGGTTCCATATCCCTGGTTCCATATCCCTGGTTCCATATCCCTGGTTCCATATCCCTGGTTCCATATCCCTGGTTCCATATCCCTGGTTCCATATCCCTGGTTCCATATCCCTGGTTCCATATCCCTGGTTCCATATCCCTGGTTCCATATCCCTGGTTCCATATCCCTGGTTCCATATCCCTGGTTCCATATCCCTGGTTCCATATCCCTGGTTCCATATCCCTGGTTCCATATCCCTGGTTCCATATCCCTGGTTCCATATCCCTGGTTCCATATCCCTGGTTCCATATCCCTGGTTCCATATCCCTGGTTCCATATCCCTGGTTCCATATCCCTGGTTCCATATCCCTGGTTCCATATCCCTGGTTCCATATCCCTGGTTCCATATCCCTGGTTCCATATCCCTGGTTCCATATCCCTGGTTCCATATCCCTGGTTCCATATCCCTGGTTCCATATCCCTGGTTCCATATCCCTGGTTCCATATCCCTGGTTCCATATCCCCCTCAAACCCTGACACCCCTCATGCGCTCTGTAAACCAGCTGCTCAACAGCACACTGTTCCTCTCGCCCGACCTGCACTGTGACAAGATTTAATTGGCTTTACCCCTCTCAACCCCTCACCACCCCCCACTACAGTCTGTGAAGCAGTTGTTGGACGGCACGTTGTTCCTGGCGCCCTATCTGCACTTTGGAGAGGCGAGTTCTGAAACCCTCCTCCCTCATGCCCTCACCACCCCTCACCACCCATCCCCCATCATGCAGTCGGTGAAGCAGCTGTTGGACGGCACGCTGTTCCTGGCGCCCGACCTGCACTTTGGCATCGTGCACGTGGCTGACGTGGCGCTGGCACACGTGTTGGCGCTGGAGAAGGACGGCATGAAGGGGCGCTACATCCTGTGCAATGGCGACACCATGTCGCTGCTACAGATGGCCGGTACATTGCATTTTCTCCCAACTCCCCCCCCCACCCACCAACGTGCTGAGCTCCATCGCACTCAACTGCTGCCTGCCACCCATGGCCATGCCCGCCTGGAAGGTAGGCTTACACACGTGCTTACCGAAACAAACCCTCACAATCCTCCTTATGCACCCCCTCACACCAGACTTGCTGCGGTCCAAATAACCCAACTACCGCCTGCCACCCATGGGAAGGCCAACTGGATGGCAGGCAGGCGCACACATGCTGTCCTCTCACCATCCCCCCTATCCCCCCCTCACACTCCAGATGTGCTGCGCTCCAAGTACCCCAACTACCGTGTGCCATCCATGGGCATGCCCGACTGGATGGCCATGCTGGCAGCCATGGTGAACCCGGCCGTGGGCATGGACTTCATGCGGCGCAACCTGGGGGTGGTGCACCGGTACAGCGGCAGCAAGGCGGAGAATGACATGGGCATCATCTACCAGTCGTCGAGAGTCGCGCTTATTGAGGCGGCCACGTCGATTGTGGAGCTCGGTCTGCTTGATAGGAAGTGATCAGGTGGATGAGATGCGGACGTTAGGTATCTGGTTGAGGGAATGAACGTACTGTAACTTCAATAAGGCAATGCAATGAAGTGGGGGGAAGGGGGCGGGGGAGGGAGGAGAGGGTGAGGAAGGGGGGAGGGGGGAGGGAGGGGGGTCTACTGTGCTTTACATGTATTGAGCTTGCAGATCAGTTGTGCCAATGTTTGATGTTGGCACTTCATTGATATCTTAACTTCCAGTAGCAGTTTCGTATGTATACTTGTAAGTCTACCCCAGTTTTAACGTCCAAATAAGATATTGAGATGTGTTGGGCTGAGAAAAGCCCTTGGAATCGTTTTCAAGACTAAGGCTCAGGATGATGATACTGATTTGTGTAAGAATGCGAGAATGTTGTGTTTCATTGATGTGGTTGGGGTACATATAGAAACCCTAACAGATGTACCCCCTAAGACAAGCCTCACTACAGGCTGCCTTTGACACACCCCCATAGCCTAAGTGAGGGGTGTCGAACAAAGACCTACAGAGTACGGTCATAAGACCAGTCCAAAAGAAACAAAGCTCAGGGTGGATCACAACGTCACCACACACTCTGAGCACAAACACCAGGGGCCACAAGGCCAGTCCAAGAACTCACAAGATATACAGCAAATGTACAAGCAAAACAAACAGTCAACTCAAGTCTACACAAGACGAGAACCAGTGTCAACAAGGCCTAACTGCACACAACACCTCTGGTGGTCACAAGGCGGAAGTGCCTTGGTGAAGATGTCTGCAGTGTTGGCCTCAGACTCCACAAACTCGAAGCGAGCCTGTCCACGTCTCTGCAACTCTCGCAGAAGAAAGTACCTGACATTGATGTGCTTCACTCTGCTCTCCAGTCGTGGCTCACGACAAAGGAGAATCGATGCCTTGTTGTCAGAGAACAAGGTCGGTGCAGAGCTCGGCCTCTCACCAAGGTCAGTGAGCAAGAAGGTCAACCAACGCAGCTCCTGTGCCGCCATGGCACCAGCGTAGATCTCAGCCTCAGCGGTGGAGGTCGAGACCGAGGAGGAGCGCGTGGACCTCCAAGAAACAGCTCCAGAACCCAGACTGAAACAGTAACCCTGAGTAGACCTGTGAGTCTCAGCGTCGTCAGCGTAAGAAGAGTCACAGTGACCAATAAGTGCGACAGACTGCTGCCCTCCAAGAACTAGCCCCACGCCTGATGTCGTCGCTAGGTACTTCGCCACCCTCACAGCTGCTGTCCAGTGAACAGGACGGTGCCTCCCTGGCGCAACAAAGCGCGCAAGGATGCTGAGAGGGAAGGCGAGGTCCGGGCGAGTACAAGTCATCAGGTACATGAGGCAACCCACAAGCTCTGCGTAGGGACCACTAGGCTCGAACGGCTCGTCAGGAAAAGGACCAGTGAGTCTGTGGTCAACAGAAAGAGGTGTGCGCTGTACTGTGGAGTGCTGAAGCCCGAACCGCTGAAGGACCTGCTGCACCACGTGTGACTGAGAGAGTGTGATGGTGCGAGCAGCTCTGTCCCTGGTGATCTGCAAGCCAAGGTAGTGGCGCAGCTCACCAAGGTCAGTGCAAGTGTGTCTCTTCAGCAGTTCGGACTTCACGTCTGCCAAGGCAACCCTGTCAGCAGTAGCGAACACTAGGTCGTCGACGTAGACAAGAACAAAGAACGGTGTGGTACCTCGACGAACGAACAGTGAAGGGTCAGCAGAAGACGGCTGGAAACCAAGGTCAGACAGGGTAGAACGAAGGGTGTCGTGCCACTCACGAGGAGCCTGACGAAGACCGTAAACCGGTCGCCTCAGCCTCCACTGGGTCCCAGGAGGGAAAGAGCCAGTGAAGGCAGAGGGACGACGAAGCCAGGCCTCCTTTTGAAGGCTACCCTGAAGGAAAGCAGTGGAGAAGTCTAGAGAGTGTAACTCGTAGTCTCTCTATGCTGCTACGTGCAGTAACACCCGAAGAGTGGTCATCTTCGGGGTAGGCGCGAAGGTCTGAAAGAAGTCAACTCCCTCGCGCTGACTGAAACCTCTAGCCACGTAGCACGCCTTGAAGACGGGAGGAGATCCTGGTGGCCGCTTCACCCTGTAGATCCACATGCCATCGACTACGTTCGCCCCAGGGGGGGAACCTCTCTCTCCTCTCTCTCCAACTCCAACTGCTCCTCACGAGCACGACGAACACGAGCCTGGTGGCGGGTCGGGTAGGGGTGGGGAGGAGGTGTAGCGTCCTGGGCGGCAGCAGACGCAGGACCGCCACCAGGAACACCAGGTGCACCACCCCCAGAGTCAGCACCAGGAACCGCAACTCGGCCAGGCTCACCAGAAACTGCACCCCTAGATGTGTCACCCCCAGACGTGTCACCAGCACCAGCTCCCGGAAGCGGAGACTCTCCTGCAGTCTCAAGCTCACCCGCAACTCCAGCACCCCCAGAACCAGGGCCCAGCACAGGTACGCTCTCAACTCCAACTCCAACTCCAACTCCTCTAGAGCGAGCACCGGCCGGGACTGTGGCAGGCTGCGAGGAGGACTGCAGGGAAGGAGACAGTACCTGAGGGGCTACCGAGGGGGGAGGGGTAGCGTGGGACACACCTGACGGGGCTGGACCAGGGGGGGGAGGCTGTACCGGGGGAGCAGGAGGTGGGGCGGGAGCCAGGAAGAGAGGAGGGGGAGGAACCAGGAGACCTCTAGAGGGGTACCTGACGTAGAAGGGGACGGACTCCTCAAAACGAACGTCACGGGAGTCAAAGAACCTGTGAGAAGGAGGGTGGTAAAAGGTGTAGTCAGAGGAGTCCTCAGGGAAACCAAGGAAGACACAGGGAACGGCGCGAGGCGAGAGCTTGTCCGTAGAGGTGTCGAGAACAAGAGCCAAGCAACCCCAGACACGAAACCTCGACGCAACACCAGGGGACCCGGTCCAAAGACTGGTCGGTGAAACCTCTGGCCGAGAGACACGAGGCCAGAGGTTCAGCTGGTGTGCGGCGTACCGAACCGCGTAGGGCCACAGAAAATGGGGGGCACGGGCGTGAGTCAAGGAGGTGCGCGCAATCTCCATGACCAAGCCTATGCGGCGCTCAGCAACCCCATTCTGCTGTGGGGACTCCGGAAGCGTCCAGGACTGACGAATGCCCTGTTCGTGAGAGAATCCAGCAAGAATGCTGGAGCGAAACTCACCCCCACGGTCAGAGTGCAGACAGCTGACACGACGACCACGAGTGTCCGCAGTGGAAAGCAACCACCTGATCAGCGTAGAAGTCACCTCAAACTTTTTCGTCAGGGGGAACACCGTGGTGTAGCGAGAGTAGTCGTCAACGACCACCAAAAAGAAACGCTCACGCTCAGGGCCAGGGCGAGGAGAGGGGCCCCAGACGTCCAAGTGGAGCGTCTCAAAAGGCTCGGTGGCCGGACGAAGGGAGGAGTGAGGGGTGGCGCGCAGCTGACCCTCGACGCAAGGACCGCAAGGAGGCGCAAGCGAGGGCGGCAGCGACGGCAAGACACGCGGGAGGCCTAGGACAAGACGCTGACTAGACATGGCGCGAAGACGAGGGAGCGACGGGTGCCCCATCCGGTGGTGCCACAGAACGGTGGGGTGGGCAAGCGACCGGCAGGAGCAAGACGCAGCGACTGGACTAGACACGACTACCTGAGGGGACAGAACAACCTGGTGAGACGCGGGGAGGAGATAGGGGGGAGGGACAGGGGTCGGGAGGAGGGGCTCCCGCGGCGGCGGCTGCTGCGGCTCCTGCTGCTGATGCGACTGTTGCGGCTGCTCCTGCTGCTGCTGCCGCGGCCGCTGCTGCTGCTGCTGCTGCTGCTGCTGCTGCTGCTGCTGCTGCTGCTGGGTAGCTGCTGCTGCTCACCAGGGCGCGTGTGGAGGGTGTAGAGACCGGAGCCCGGCTCAGCAGTAAAGGTGGCAAGGGGCTGGTAAGAATCCCCGTCAACACACACTGCTGTCTCGCCCGAGGGCTCAATCCACACACCCACGTGCTGGCTCACAAGGGGTCGTACGCCCACCAAGTTCCTCGAGAACGAGGGGACGTGAAACCCGGTAAGGGACCCGGAGGGAGCAGCAGGGCACGGAAGAGTGGTAGTAAGGCAGCAGCAGGGCACGGAAGAGTGGTAGTATGGCGCGCAAGGACTGGTCCCGAGGTGGGATCAGCTAGCGCCACAGAAACGGGCGCCGGTAGAGGTGTGATTGTCGTGCGGTCGCGGAAGAAGCAGTGCGAGGCTCCAGAGTCCAGTGTGAAGGACAGCGACGCGTCCTCCGAGGTAGTCGCTGTACTAGTGTCTAAACAAGAACCTACACTAGCAACAGGCAACTCAGAAACACCAGAGTAAACAGAGTCAGAAACACTAGAGTCAACAACAGCATACATAGCAGGAAGAGTTCCTAACAGATCAACAAGCTGCGCAGCGGACATGCCCCACAGAGCGGAGCCGTGCTGCGACACAAGAGGAAGCCAGTCAGGGGCAGGACCGCCAACCCCGTAGGCCAGACGAAGCGTGTCAGTGAGCTGAGCAAAACACTGACCAGGAGGGTGAGTGCGGCCACACGACCGGCCGCGGCGCGCACCTGTCAGAACCTGATAGGTGCACGGACGGTGAACAGCACTTCGCTGGGGCTGACGCTGCCCTGACCCCGAAGCCGGCTGCAGTCGCTGCTGCTGCGAAGGCTGCTGGGAGGTGAGGGGCTCCTTCTGCTGCTGCTGCTACTGCTGCCGCTGAGCCAGATACCACGCCGCTGCTCCACCCGCCGCGGCCGGGAGTCCAGGGGGCGACTGACGAACGCGGACGTCGCCAGCACCAGCAGGGGAGTCAGTGGTCGCCGCTCGGGACGCCTCTCCAGACCCAGCTCCTCCACCACCTCCAGGCGCGACGTCACCCCCACCACCTCCGCCTCCACCACCCCCACCGCCCGAACCCGAACCGCCCTTCCTGCTGCCCCTACTCCAGGACCGCGAGGAAGTCGTAGCAGCTGCTGCAGTGACGTCAGTGGCAGCAGTGGCTAGAGAGGCAGTAAAGGTGGGCAGCTGTGGAACTGTGCACCCGTGGAACAGTGGGGGGGGCACAGCACCAGAGGCAGCGGCTACAGAGCGAAGGTTGCTCTCGACGTCCTTGAGTGCGGACTCAAGGACCTCGATAGTGAGCTCACTAGGGTGCTTCAGAAGAAGCGCGTCACGAACAGAGGCAAGGCGGTCAGGGAGGCTAGTGGCGATGAAATAGATAGTAATCGCCATCGGGGGAGGGAGCAGTGCGAGCTGTGCGTCAGTGCAGGCAGCGCGGTAGCTAGAGTCAAGCGAGCGGAGGTGAGCGACCAAGTCAGCTGAGCGCTCAAACGAAGCGAGATCAGGGAACAGGAACGGGAGGAAAAGACGACCAAGAGAGACAGTAGCGGGAGTAGCGTAGCGGGCCTTAATCGCAGTCAGGAACTCGCTAGCAGAGCGAACCTGAGTGAAGTGAACCTCCTCAGACTCAGGGAGGAGGCTGCTGAGGGCGATGCAGGCCGCAGCGTCACGCGACGTCCACGCCGTAAGAGCGGCACGCTGGCGGTCAAAGCGGTCGCGGGCAGTGTCGTCTGGGTCCGGGCCTAATGGCGTGGGGTCGGAGGGCGCAGGAAGAACACCAGCAGTGTGCGCCCAGAGGGTCTCTCCCGACTGGACCTGACTCTCTAGCAGGCGACGCGCGCGGAGGAGCCAGACCGAGAAATGGAGCGGGCGACCATCAGCATCGAAACGAAGGACGCGAGGTGTCGCCATTGTTCGCAAACCGAAGCGGCAGGGAAAGCAGGGCGCAGCGACAGGCGTAACAGGCTAGGAAGGCAGGTCGCAGCGGGCGGGTAGGGCAGGGGGGAACGGGTGGGAAGAGCAGGTGCGTGCGGGCGGACTAAGGCAGGTGCACGTGGGCTAGGGGAGGAGCGCGCGAGCGGTCTAGGGCAGGGGCGCCGGGCGGGTAGGGCAAAGGCGCCGGGCGGTAGAGGTAGGGCGTAGGCTGGGGCGACGGGTTAGGGCGCAGGCAAGGGCGACGGGCGAGGGCGCGGGCTGGGGCGACGGGCCAGGGCGCGGGCCAGGGGGACGGGCTAGGGCGCGGGCCTGGGCGACGGGCTAGGGCTCAGGACTGGGCGACGGGCTAGGGCGCGGGCCTGGGCGACGAGTTAGGGCGCGGGCTGGGGCGACGGGCTGGGGCGCGGGCCTGGGCGACGGGCTAGGGCGCGGGCCTGGGCGACGGGCTGGGGCGACGGGCTGGGGCGACGGGCTGGGGCGCGGGCCTGGGCGACGGGCTAGGGCGCGGGCCTGGGCGACGGGCTAGGGCGCGGGCCAGGGCAACGGGCTAGGGCGACGGGCTAGGGCGCAGCCAGGGCGACGGGCCAGGGCGACGAGCTAGGGCGACGGGCTAGGGCGCAGGCAGGGCGACGGGCTAGGGCGCAGCCAGGGCGACGGGCCAGGGCGACGAGCTAGGGCGACGGGCTAGGGCGCAGGCAGGGCGACGGGCTAGGGCGACGGGCTAGGGCGGCGGGCTAGGGCGCGGCTGGGGCGACGGGCCAGGGCGACGGGCAGCGGGGGGGGGGGGGGGGGGGGGGGGGGGGGGGGAAGGGCGGCGCGACGCGACGAGAAGCGGGGGGGAAGGCGCGACCGTGCGATCTACCGCTAACGGAAGGCTCGGGCGTAACAGTAACGAGAGGCTCGGGCGTAACGAACGGGAACGGGAGGATCGGGATCCAATAGGATCGAACTAGCTGATACCATGTTAGAATGAGAGAATGTTGTGTTTCATTGATGTGGTTGGGGTACATATAGAAACCCTAACAGATGTACCCCCTAAGACAAGCCTCACTACAGGCTACACATTTGACAATTTGAACCACCTTGCAATAGCATGTGAGAACAAGATGAATTGATTATAGCAAAGGAATACAAGGTTTTTATATGAGTACAAGGAATATGAAAGGTTTTACTAACTGCAATTGTAACTGCTGTTGCAGTTTGATACAGCGACGACTCGGGTAACTGCTCAATAGCGAGTCAGTTATTTGTCCTTGCTGTCGCGCTGAATTCGTCGAGTAAAAGGTCGCTGACCTTTTGACCTTCACTTCAACCTCTTGTCCCCTTTTGTCAACCGTTTCTCAGTGGATCGGTTGACTTGGTGTTGGTTCGTGTCAAATGTTCGTATATTTTAGATATAACTAGTTATTATAGGCTGCAGTGAGTTGCCCTTAGGAGGGTACAACACTTGTTTAGGTTTAAACCCGTGTCTCATATTTCTTGTTTCCAACCAAAGGTAATACGCTTGAAACAGGGTAACCAAACAATCACTCGCAAAACACTTGCGTTTGGTTTGGCGCAGGTGCGATTGGCTGCAAACCAAACAGTTTAGTAGGTGCACGTGCCTGACTACCAAGCCAGGTTTGCGAGAAACAGGCAACTGCGTGTGCGATGAACAGAGAATGGGACACACAGCCCACAACCGTGCATATTACAGAGCTGGAAAAAAATGAGACTGCAAACCCAGACAAGTTGTAGGTGGAGGAACATACTTGCACCGATTTCTCTAGCGACTAAGTCTCATTTCAGCATCTTGTAGGTGGAAACAAGTAATCTAACGCTTCTTGTGTGTCGTAACATCAGACTATAAACGAGTCAAAACATTTTTGCAGCAATGGCGAGTCAACCGAGGAGGTTGACAGAAAAATAGCAGCCGGGGGTTACGCAAAGGTCAAAGGTCAGCGACCTTTGACTCGACAAATACAGCGCGACAGCAAGGACAAAGATCTGACTCGATATAGAGCAATTGCCCGAGTCGTCACCGTATCAAACCGCAACAGCAACAGTAAAACAGTTATTGCATCCTTTTATATTCCTTGTAATCTGCTTGTATTACCTTCTGTAATCAATCTTAGAAACTAGGCATGGGTCGATGTTGACTATCGAGAGAAGTTGGTACAAGAAGAAAACCCTAAGGGGTTATACCCCACAATATATCTACCCCACTTCAACCTACCCACAAATATAACATATGCATATGTTTGACACACCCCCATAGGCAAAGTGGGGGAGGTCACAAGACCAGTCAAGAAAAGCAAAGCAAGCTCAGGGTGGATCACAACGTCACCACACACACTGAGCACAAGCAAAGGGCCACAAGGCCAGTTCACATGCAGAGGCATATATGTAACAAGAACAGTACAGTCATCTCTACTTAGCAAGAGCAAGCATGCAGGTATATAGATATATGTATATATAGATCACAATACAAGCAAAGTCTACAGCAAGTGTGGAAACGTAGGCACAAGGCCCAACAAAGTACAAAAGCGCTGATGGTCACCAGACGGAAGTGCCTTGGTGAATATATCAGCAGTGTTGGCCTGAGTGGCCACGTGAGCAAGGCGAAGCTGACCCCGCTGCTGCAACTCTCGAGCCAGGAAGTAACGCAGAGCGATGTGCTTCGTTCTGTGCTCCAGTCTGTGCTCGTGACACAAGGCAATGGCGGCCTTGTTGTCAACGTACAGAACTGGAGGAGAACGAGGCCTCTCTCCCAAGTCGGTCAGCAGGTAGGTGAGCCAGCATAACTCCTGAGCAGCCATGGCTGTGGCGTAGATCTCAGCCTCACAACTGGAGCTGAGAACAGAAGACGAGCGAGTAGAACGCCAAGAAACAGAACCGGAGCCAAGGCTGAAAGTGTAACCCTGTGACGACCGCTGTGTAGCCTGGTCGTCAACCCAAGAGGCGTCTGAGTGCCCAGTGAGGACCACCTCACTCCGCCCTCCAAGCACGAGCCCCATGCCTGATGTTGTGCACAAGTAACGCAGTACCCTTTTTGCAGCATCCATGTGCACCTTTCGGTGCCGACCAGGAGCCACGTAGCGGGCCAGAAGGCCAAGAGGGTACGCAAGGTCAAGACGAGTGCAGGTCATCAGGTACATGAGGCAGCCCGCTAGCTCTGGGTAAGGACCACTCGGCTCTACGGACTCGTCCGAAGGTGGAGCTGAGAGCGAGTGACTTACAGCCAGAGGAGTGGACTGTGGCGAGGACCAGGTGAAGCCAAAGCGCTGAAGGACCTGCTGCACCATGTGGGACTGAGTCAGTGTGATGGTGCGACGTGCTCGGTCCCGGGTGATCTGCAAGCCAAGGTAACTGCGCAGCTCACCCAGGTCTGTGCACGTGTGTCTCTTCTGCAGCTCGGACTTCACCAGGGCGAGAGCCTCAGTGTCACTAGTAGGAAAGACCAAGTCATCGACGTACACGAGGATGTAGAACGGCGGCAGTGAAGTGTCGGTGCGCAGAAACAGAGACGGGTCAGCTGTCGAAGGCGCAAACCCAAGAGCCGCAAGTGTAGTCCCTCAGTGTGTCGTGCCACTCACGAGGCGCCTGGCGGAGACCGTAGACTGGCCGCCGGAGGCTCCACTGGGTACCAGGAGGGAACGACCCAGTGAAGCCAGGTGGGCGGCGCAGCCAGATCTCCTCGTGCAGGCTGCCCTGTAAGAAAGCTGTGCTGAAGTCCAGAGAGTGAAGCTCGTAGTCACGCTGAGCGGCAACGTGCAGCAGCACCCGAAGAGTAGTCATCTTCGGGATGGGGGAGAAGGTCTGGAAGAAGTCAACTCCCTCTCGCTGACTGAAGCCTCGAGCAACGTAACGAGCCTTGAAGACAGGCGGAGAACCCGGCGGCCGCTTCACCCTGAAAATCCGCATGCCATCGACGATGTTCGCCCAAGGAGGGGGAACCTCGTCGACATAAGTGCCTGTGGACTTCCAGGATGCCATCTCTGCGTCCATGGCTGTCTGCCACTGAGAGGAGTAGGGACCCGCGATCGCCTCAGCGTAAGATCGCGGGGTAGGGATGTCTGGTGCATCCGGGTCTCCCTCAGGGGCAAGCAGCATGGCCACGAGATGAGGCGCAGCGGCCGCAAGACACTCAAGGTCCTCCTGCCTATCCTCAAGGACGTCCGTGCCAAGAGCACACTCACCCCCGACAGACGGAGGACAGACAGACTCAGACTCAGCAACGAGACTAGCGGCGTAGTCTAGACGACAGGCAGCAGCAAAGCAGACGCAGCAGCAGACTCAAACGACGGGTCAGTGACAACAGTGGCTAACAGACGCGCGACAAGGGGTGCTCAGCACGAAACTTGCCAGACTCAGGGTCAGCAACGTCAGGCAGAGAGGACGCAGGGGGAGACGGCAAAGGAACAGGCTGCGGAGCAGAGGAAGGACGACGGACTACGAGGTGTGTGCCGGGGACAGCCGGCTGACGCGAACGAGGAACACGACGACCGGAACGACCAGAGGGGACAGGCTTGACAGGACGCGACGCAGGCTCACGACGCTCAGCAAGACCCCCTGTCTGCTCAGTGTAAGGAGAAGGAGCAGGCAGTGGTGAGCCAGGCTGTAACAGAAGACCAGTAGACGACGGTAGGCTAAGAACCTGGCGAAGCACAGAGTCAGGCGGTGGCTGAGACCTTGACGACGACCGTACTAGTCATGTAGCTGCTGTGAGGTGAGAGGCACACGCGGACAAAGGTGGCTGCTCCAAGGAGACCGCACACCAGCAGTCTCAGTACCCTCAGGCGTCTCACCCCCAGACTCAGCACCCCCAGACTCCGCACACGCAGGCTCAGCACCCCCAGACGCAGCACCTCCAGTCCCCTCACGCGAAGGCGCAGCACCGCCGGCTCCGCACCCTCAGGCTCCTCACGCTCAGGCTCAGCACCCCCAGGCTCAGCACCCCCAAGCTCCGCACCCCCAGGCTCCGCACCCCCAAGCTCCGCACCCCCAGGACCAGGACCCCCAGAGACAGCACCACCCCCAGCAGGACCGGAGTCACCAGTGACCTCAACAGGCGCAGGCACAGGAGGGTCTACCTGAGAAACACCTGAAGGAGTAGTACCTGGCGCGGAAAGGGGGTCTACCTGGGGAGGACCTGGAGCGAGGAAGAGCGGCGGGGGGGTGCGAGGGGAAGTACGGTAGGGAAAGAGACGGTAGAAGGGAACGGACTCGTCAAAGGTGACGTCCTGAGACGCAAAGACACGGCGCGAGGCGGGGTCGTAAAACTGCCAGCCAGGCGCGTCAGAGGGAAAACCAAGGAAGACACAGGGAATGGCGCGAGCGGAGAGCTTGTCCGCGGTGGTATCGCGGACAAAGGTACGAGCACCCCAGACCCGGAATCGCGACGCATCGCCAACCTCCCCCGTCCACAGCAGTGTGGGCGAGGGTGTACAGACTGGACCCCGGCTCACGAGTGAACGTGGCCAGGTGGCGGCCAGTCTGAGAGCAAGTGCAGATCGCCACACGCTGCCCTCCAGGAGTCCAGGTGTCAACCCAGTGATCCTGAAGGACAGCGTTGCTCACCAGGTTCGTAGAGAACGAGGGAACGTGGAGACCTGACAGCTCACCAGACGGGACCGCCGGGCACGGAAGCACAGTCGTGGCTCGTGCAAGCACTGGGCCGCGAGAGGGGTCAGCCAGTGAGACAGGGACAGGTGCAGGGAGGGGGGTGACGGTGGTACTGTCGCGAAAGAAACAGCGAGAAGCACCAGAGTCAAGTGTAAACGTGTGCAAGGCCTGAGCTGACGCAGTACCAGAGAGGGCAGACTCACTAGCACCTAGGGCTGCAGTCTCTATACCTGGGTCAGGCGGGACACACAAGTAACAATCACCCTCAGCACTAACAGTCAATGCATACATGGCAGCAAGGATTGCATCATAGTCAAGATCATAGATAGGTACATCACGCCTAAGCAGATCTGCCCAGTTGGGGAATTCAATAGCATTAGGAAACTTGACGCGCCAGGCGTCGCTGAGCCGAGCAAAGCAGCGGTACTCAGTGTGAAAGCCGTTGCATGGGCGACCCTTGCGGGGGCCAGTGAGAATGACATAGGGGCAGCGACCAGGACCCCCAGACGCCCCACGCCCAGCATACCAGTCATGGAGCTGCTGAGAAGAGGGGGTCTGGCGCTGCTGCTGCTGCTGCGGCTGCTGCTGCTGCTGGCCCCCACTGGAGCTCCCCTTCTGGCCGGTCCCACTCCTGCCCCCACCTCCACCGCCACCACCACTGCCTCCTCCCACTCTACCGCCGCTGCCACCTGCACCACTCCCGGTCCCACCGCCGCCCTACCCACCTCCTCCACCCCCACGACCACCCCCACCACCTCCACCACCCCCGCCGCCTCCACCACCGCTCCCTCCACCGCCACCTCCACCACCCCTGCCACCCTTGCCGCCCCTGCCACCGCCGCGCTTCCCACAAGGTGTTAGCGGAAGCCGCTGCGACCTTCTCAGCACCGAGGAGGTCGACTGCAGCAGCAGCTGAGGCGTAGGAGGGGGCAAGAGGGGAGGGGGAGCACCCCTCAAAGAGGGGAGTGCGAGGAGTGCCACGGGCAGCACCTACAGCGAGGATGTTCTTCTCTGCTGCTAGGAGCTGCTGCTCGAAGTCGGCTAGAGTGATAGTGGTAGGGTCCTTGGCGAGGAAATGGTCCCTGACCGAGCTAAGAGTGTCAGGGAGGCGGGTGACGAGGATGTAGAGGGTAAAGTACAATGGGAGGGTGTTCGTGGCGAGGAACTCGTCGGTAAGAGCGGCACGAAAGCGGGCGTCACTAGCGCGGAGGTGAGAGATGAGGTCCTCAGCGGTGGTAAACGAGGACAGGTCGGGGAACAGGTAGGGCAGGATGAGGCGTCCTACGGCTGCAGTGGCTGGGGAGGAATAGCGCGCAACTACAGCGTCATACAGCGCCTTAGCAGTCTTGTGCTGACTAAAATGCGCGCGCTCAGTGATCGGCAGGTGGTTGCGGATAGCGAGGCGCGCAGCAGCATCGCGAGTCTGCCACTGTGAGCGGTCAAGAGCAGGAGCACTGTCAGCAGGAGCAGCGGCAGTGCCAGAAGCGTGATCGAACAGTGAAACGCCGTCTTTGGCATCCGTCATAAGAAACAGCTGCAGGTCATCAAGCCAAGTGGCAAACTCTATCGGGCGACCGTCAGGCTCAAACGCGAGAACATTAAGCGTCGCCATTATAGCAGCGCAGGCAAAAGCAACAGGCCAAGGCAGCAGGAAGAGGCGGCAGGAAGGCGGGCAAGTGCACTTTAGGCAGGCAGGCGCAAGGCAGGCAGGCGCACTTCAGGCAAGGCGCAAGGCAGGCAGGCGCACTTCAGGCAAGGCGCAAGGCAGGCAGGCGCACTTCAGGCAAGGCGCAAGGCAGGCAGGCGCAAGGCAGGCAGGCGCAAGGTGGGCAGCGTGCGGCTAGAGCGGATGCGCGGCACACAGGCAGCGAAGTGCGCAGGGCGAGGCGGCGGCGCACAGGTAGGGCAGGGCGCAGAGGGGACGGGCGGCGCACGGGCAGGGCACGCAGCTGCGGGCTGCGCGCGGCTGTGGGCTGCGTATGGCTGCGGGCTGCGCGCGGCTGCAGCGGGCTGCGTGCGGCGGGGGGCTGCGCGCGGCTGCGGGCTTCGCGCGAGGCAGCAGCGGGCGTGCGGGCGGCTGAGCGCGGCGCGCGAGGCTGCAGCGGGCTGCGCGCGGGCTGCAGCAGCGGGGCGCGTAAAAAAAAAATAAATAAATAACGCCCGCGTGCAGCCGAGGCGCACGCGGGCAGCAGGCAAGGCAGGCAGGCAAGGCTGTAGGTGAGGTAACCGGTGGGCCCGAATCTTAGGTCCTAAGGACCTACTGCTCTAGATACCATCTTAGAAACTAGGCATAAATCGATGTTGACTATCGAGAGAAATTGGTACAAGAAGAAAACCCTAAGGGGTTATACCCCACAATATCTACCCCACTACAGCCTACCCACAAATATAACATATGCATATGTTTGACAATTAATTCATCTTGCCCTCACATACTAGCGCAAGGTGGTTCAAACCTTGTTATTAAAAACACTTCCGCAATTACAACATTCCTAGCCGGATTTTAGCCTTGAAAAGATCCTAAGGGCTTTTCTCAGCCCAACATGGTATGAGAGCGGTCAAGGCAAAACCAACTCTATTGACACTCCTACAACAATGGAAGACATGGCTACACAAAAGGAGAGAAGCTCCTCTAACGGCTCTCCCGGCACTACTCCTACTCCACCTCCAGCCTCTGGCCTACAGACAGAGGGAGGCACGGCAACAAGACTAGCTGCTGGGTCTACGGAAACTCCTGCGAACCAAGCAACAGGCTTCGACCCAAGTATGATGGAGAAGTTCTTCTCCTTCATGTCCTTCTACGAACAGCACCAGCAAGCCGCACCTGCACAATCAAACAACAGCGACAACAACAAGGAGTAACACCAATGAGTCTCGACGGCTCATCCTATGCGCGCGAAAACCAGCAGCAGCCTACCTTTGCTCCATACGAGCCTCAACGAGGCTCCATCAGCTTCATACCGCAACAGCCTCCACCTAAACAAAAGAAGGCATTGGACGCGCTTCAGGTTCAATCACAGTTCGCACATGTACTGAAGCTGCAGACATCTACGCTTTTCGACGGAAATGATGTCTATACCTGGTCCTTCGAGTTCGAGTTGATGATGGAAGGCGCGCAAATCCTCGGCTTCTTCGACGGTTCCCTGCCATACCCAACGCACGGAACACAATACGACAAGCAGCAGTATACATATCAGTCACTGATGGCGTACACAATCCTGCTACGAAACATAACACCAAACGAGCAGCATAACATTCGGTCTTATCGGGGATACGGCAACTCCGCCGAGCTCGCGTACAACCACCTGAAGAACCTGTATCAAGCAACAGACAGCGTCAACGAGAGTCTGTTAATGGCACAACTGACAACAGTGGAAATGAAACCCGGCGAAAAGGGAATGGCGTATATCAGCCGTTGTCGCGGACTGCGCGACAGACTTCTTCTATGCGGAGGATCGATATCCAAAGAAGCCTTCGTTACAGTCGTCATCTCCGGCCTCGGTCTCCATTGGCGCTCCACTCGAGCCATTCTCCGAGCCCACGGGAAGATCTCCGAAGCAGCACTCTGCGCCGAAATTCACGCTGAACAGCAAGACATGGACCTGCACGAGGAGCGGCACAAGAGAAAAACGTCAGTACTCGAATTTGCATTCCACACTCAACGGCGCTACAACAACAACAATCGGCAGAACAAGCATCAAGCACAACGACTCGTACCTCCGTTTTGCCATCTCTGCAAAACATCTGGAAATCCTCGCACACACTTCCCAAATCAGCAGCAGTCGACGCCGCCGCAACGTCAACTTCGACCCTCGAGCAGTCAGGTGGCCTCCACACAGGCACATCCTACCAACCAAGTACAGTCCTCAACAACACCTACGGCACAACTTGCACAAGGCACAAGAAACATCGTGAGCTGCATGGCAAATCCTGCATCACCAAATCACCGCCGCACTACTCACCGGAAGAACAACTCGACGAAAGCTCTCCTCGCCGCGAGTCACTAGAGCCAAACCCGACGTACGCAGCCATCGCCCAGAGCGAGCCGTCCGGGAAAGACACCTGGTTCTTGGACAGCTGCTGCGGACAGCACATGTGCTCCTCGGGTCGCTTCGTTCAACGCGAGCATCAACTTCAGCGCGAGGTCGTCATCACCGTCGCCAACAACCAAAACCTGCGCACACGACGACAAGGCACTGTTCAACTTCAGTCGAGAGAAACAAATGTCAAAGGTCTTAATCGCGGAGGGACTCGGCTACAACGTACTCAACGTCAGTCAATTGATGGTGAAGGGAATTCATCTCGAAGTGGATAGCACCACGCAAGAGTTCAAGCTGTACCACGGAAAGGGCGGCCTCTACATCGGCAAGGCGGTCTTGAAGAACAACGTCTTCGTTCTTGATTTCGTTCCAGACCAAGGCACCGCCGACAGTGACGCCATCGTCAACTTCACTTCTTGGACACACCCGCCAGATCTCGACCCCGACTTCAGTCCTGGAGGCTTCAGATATTCGTATACTATACATGAAGCAGAACAAACAAGAGTGTTAGCAACGATTCAACAACCGACAGCAGCAGAGACAACATCGGCAGCAACAGTAACACCATTGGCAGTAGCAGAAATAACACCGGCAGCAGCAAAATCTACACAGGCACCAATCGCTGGTCCTTCAACAACACCGGCCTTCATTGACGACACACCACCAACTCCTGCGCAACAGCTGACTCCCACTCCACGAGAAGTCCACAGAAGCGCCAACTTCACCGCCGATTTTTATTCCAACTCCGACCAGTACAAGCGCACACCCGGACATCGCGCTAGCGAAGACATCTGGCATCCAAGGATGGGACACCCCAGCAACACAACGTTAAGCAATACGATAAGAGCTGGTGTGTTTTACAAGGACTCACTACTTCTACACAATGGCAGAGAACTTCAAGAGTCCGCGGAATGTGTTTTACCTGCCCTGAAGCCGACTTACCGCATCAGCCGTTCGTCCCTCACCACAACCCGAGCGCTCCAGCATACGCACCACTGGAAAAGGTGTATAGCGACGTACTGTACAATCGCGAACCCGGACAAGGAGCGTATAACTACGTCATCACGTTCATCGACGCCGCCACACGATACGTCTGGCACTTCAACCTCCCGAGCCGGGACATGGCCTTTGAAGCTTTCGTCGCCTGACTTCCAGCAGCAGAACGGGAATCAGAAGCGAAGCTGAAAAGCTTCCAGTCAGACGGGGGAGGGGAACATAAGTCACAAAGTTTCAAGCAGTACCTGGCAGAACGAGGCATCAAGCGGCTCATCTCCCTTCCCTACGCCCACCAACAGCAAGGCGTAGCAGAAAGGATGAACAGGACTCTCCAGAACACCATGCGCAAGCTACTGCATGGCATGCGGCTACCCAACCACCAGTGGGAGCAATGGACCATGCTGTGATGCTGCACAACTTGCTTTCGTCATCATCGCTCCCGTTCAACGCATCACCGCATCTGCTGTGGACAGGAAAACTGGGCAGCACAAAAATGTTGCGAGTGTTCGGCTGCATGGTACAGTACCGACCCCCAACTGCACGAGCCGGCTCAACGTGCACAGTGCGGAGTACACCTGGGCATCGAAAAACATTACAACGCAGCTCGTGAAGTGATTTTCCACGAACGAGTCACACTCCCATCGTACCTTGCCAACCTGGAAGAAGAACGAGACCCCACTGGCCGAGCATTCGCTTCGATAGCAGACGAAGCTGACTAGGACGAGCAGAACGTTGACGGCGCCTCGGAAACAGCCGGACCTCTACCATACTGCTGGATCGACGTACCGATGGACAACGGCGATCCTCGCGATAGCATCAACGCCGACGTAACTACAATCTCACCGACGAGGGTTACGTTACACTTGCAAGGGTCAACACCGACGAAGCAGAACGCGTAGGACCCAATTTCACACCTGACCCAGAAGCTGGAGACAAAGCAGTCTATCCCGAGGACGCAAATCTTCCTCGCTACACACAGAGCGGGCTGCAGATACTTGGACTTGTCACCGCGGTCCACGGAGCAGCGCCACCTAAGGAGCCTGCCACAGTTCAGCAGGCTCTGGGGGGGGAGCACAAAGAAAAATGGCGCGAAGCCATAGACAGAGAATTAGAAGCACTGGAAGAACGCAACACCTGGAAGGTCGTACCCATCGGAGTGGCACGCAACAAGACAATACTCACCAGGAAGTGGGTTTTTTCGTGTGAAAACAAAAGCAGATAGAACCATCGACAAATTTAAGGCGCGCTGGGTCGTACGCGGCTTCGACCAAGAGCACGGACGAGACTTCACCGAAATAATCGCGCTAGTCAGCCGGCACGCCTCACTGCAGATTCTCCTCGCGATAGCAGCCATGAAGCAGAAAAGGCTCCGCCAAATCAACGTCGCCAACGCTTTTCTCTATGCTTCCGTTGACGCTGAAATCTTTGTCGAGCAACCGGACGGCTCCAACGCATACCCTAATCAAGTCTGTCAGCTGCTTAAGTCCCTGTACGGCATCAAACAAGCTCCAAGGCTGTGGCAGCAGTACCTACACGCCCGACTAATCCGCATCGGATTCCGCCAACTACCGCACGA